GACTCTGGGTTAGACGCGTGTGGCGCAGTGAGGGAGTCCTTGGATTGGACCGTAATGACGTCGTCGCCTTCTGTCCCTCAGGGCTATCGTGGAAAAGAAGTTGGCCGCCTGCGTCAACATCGTCCCCGCCATCACGTCCGTGTGAGTCATCGACCGTCGGCCAGGAGGTTTTCTTTGGCCTTGTTTCGAAATCCATATATACATTATATATATATATATATTGCTCGTTCTGTGTTGTCCCCTCAGATATGAGTGGCAGGGTAAGATCGAGGAGGACACTGAGGTGCTGCTGGTGAGTGTTTCCATCTCTGCCTCTGAAGGATGAATCCTATTTGTGGTGAATTCTCATCACTTCAGATGCTACGATCTGTTACTTCTACTTCCTGTACTTATAGTTACAGTAATACCTGCTGCAGGATGAACACTGGAGTTCTATCGTTATCCTCGCGAACACTTGATTGACGTGGAAGGATGAATTGTGTGTTTTGTGTGTCTACATCTACTTCTTGGGTTCTAAATAAAGCGTAACACCAGATGATTCGCCAGTTGAGGCGTCTTTTGATTGGTCGCTGTTAAGTAGAAGACGATGAACCCTGTCAGGTCGGGCCTCTCTATTGGCCACTGACGCTGTTAAACCACACCCCCAAAACCACAACAACCCAAACACTGACCTCACAACCCCTCCGAGCCTCGAGACGTCGTTGCGTTACCATGGTTACACTGGTGACCGGCCCCCTCCCCGTGAGCAGCATCCCTGACGAGTCTTCTTCCTTATTAATCTATTGGGGAACAAAAGTGGTGTGTGTGTGTGTGTGTGTGTGTGTGTGTGTGTGTGTGTGTGTGTGTGTGTGTGTGTGTGTGTGTGTGTGTGTGTGTGTGTGTGTCTGACACGTCCTCCTGTCGCCCGTCCAGATGATCAAAACCAGAAGCTCCAAGGTGCCCGCTCTGGCTGAATACGTCCGGTAGGTTCGTGCTGCAGGGAAACACTGCGTGGCTCCGTTAGCTCACAGAGTATAATTCTATATATATTGATCTATGTATGTGTTTGTGTGTGTGTTATATGTACTTCGTGTCCTCCCCAGGTCCAACCATCCCTACGAGGTGGCCGAGGTCATCAGCCTGCCCATCGACCAGGGGAACCCGCCGTACCTCAAGTGGATTGGACAAGTCGTCCCCGAGTGAGGACGCAGAGCGGGTGACCTCATCGGTTGCCCCCGGAGACGCAGGGAGACAACATCTCAAAACCTGTGATGTTCTTAAGGAGAGTTACAAGAAGAAAGTGAGCGCCGCATTTAGTTGATTTACACTATGAGAATCTAAAAGGCTTTTCTCTTCTTGGAGGCCTTTGATTGGTTGATAAGCGTCACCTGGTTTCTCCTCCTCCTTGTTGACCTCCAGAGGCCGGCCTCGGCCTCGGCCTCTGCAGAATAAACTGCTGCAGCTCCTTCTCACCACATGCATCTTTAAATGGTCAGATTGCTCATTTCTTCTGTGAGTGAAGCACTTTGTAATAAATTGGATCCATTTTTGATCGATTTGAGGTGTTTGCTGTTGATCAGCGTGCAGTGAAGTGGAGTTACGCTCATATTACATGAAGTCCACACGCACCTCACCTTTCTCTTTACGCACGAAGGTCTTCACGTGCATAGAGGTCTGTCTGCGTGACAAACGGTGATGGAACCCGTGAACATTTATCGAGCTCTGACATCACAACCCCTTTAAAACAAAAGGCATGAGCTGCCTCTGTGGTTAAACATCTGTCAGCCTTAACTGAATAAAATAGAGAATTCACCGTTAACACAGCTGGTGTTCAACTTTATATCCTTTCATTTACTGGTACAAACATAGCAGAACACATACCTGAAGGCCCACTACCCATAATGCACTGTGTTGCATCAAGGAGTCGCCCCCTGCTGGTCACTACAGAGGAAGCAGCCTTTACACAAGAAGTTCTGACTTGTCTTCATAGAAGCAGAGGTGACCTCAGCCTTTAGTTGTAGATGAGGCCGTTTGCTGTTGATCACTAATTGACCTGAAACACTGTTCGATCAGAGGTGAATAAGTGCATTTACCAGAATGTCAAACCTTTCTTTCAACCTGCATAAATAAGAAATGCAAAACACAACGTTAAAACTAAAATGGGAGAAAGGAAGACAAAGAGCGTACAACTTTATATCGCAAGTTACTATCATAAATGAACGTGCTGTTACAGTTTTGTTCGATTGCTAAACGTCAGCCGGCACAACTGTGCAAAACTCTGACTCCAGTCTGCAGCAGCAACAGTCACCTGAGCTCAACCGCTCACATCACCTGCACAACTCACTGCAAGCAACACAACTCTTAACACAAACAGGCTCAGTGCAGCAAACACTGTGAGAACACACACTGTCACTCACAACACACACTGTCACTCACAACACACACTGTCACTCACAACACACACTGTCACTCACAACACACACTGTCACTCACAACACACACTGTCACTCACAACACACTGAGAGTACAAACACCAACACACAAATACTCACTGTTCATCTTCACACTTTGAACCACTTCAGTGACGTCATACAAAGTAAGATTTTCTTCAACAAAAAGAGTCACATTCTTTCACATGACTTATTAAACTTTTTAGAACAAAACAATTCTTTAAGGTAAATGAAAATTAGCAGTTTGCTTCAATCGTCTGTAGTAATTTACAGAATTACAGTAATGAGAAAAAGGTAGAAAGTAAAAGTACAGACTGTAATGTGAACAAACTGAGGGCTGATCTGCCTCTCATCAGGACACAGGTTCTCATCACCATCACATCTGATGTTCTCTCTCCATCAACCTGGGGAAGAACCTTCTGGAGGCCTCATCCATCCCTGGCCGTCCTCTGGACTCGTGTCCTCACATCCAGCTTCCCAAAGAGACATGTGGACATGTGGGTGGAGACCAAACACCTTCCACCTCCAGGCAGAGAGAAACTCCTCTCCCCTGTTTGTGTGATGGAGAAGTTGCATCACAGACGCCACTGTGGATGTTTGCAGATCGGGTTCCACCCTCAACGCTCTCAGTGAGAGACGTGGTTCCCCACATGGTCCACAAGTGAAGCCCTTTTCCATCTGAAGTAACAGCTCTTTGTCTTCTTTGTCTCCACCAACCCGTCTTCCTTCTTCCACTTACAGAATGAGTCTTTCTGACCTCTACCTACACATTATATATATATATATATATATATATATATATATATATACATATATATATACACTTATACATACACATATACATACACATATATATACACATATATATATACACACATATATACATATATATATATTGTCATGATTTCGTTGTCTCATCAGCCCTCCTCTCTCTATTGGACCTGGTGTTTCTCTCCCTGTGCTCTCTGCATCACTGCCTGTCCTCTCACTGCCTGAACAAATATGTTGAATTTAAGAAGTAAACCAGTTAAGCAGCCTGTCAATCACACTGACAACATGAGTTAAAGGAACACTCATGTACTACCTACGTCATCATAAATAGTCTACAGCATGTTTTTTTTTCACATTGAGAACTGACTTGTTTTCTAATCTACGTTTACAGTGTATTTGGCTTACAGGCGACTCTACACCTTTCATGACTTCAGATAATTGATTAAGCATAGAGGCCTATTCAGTGAAGCAACAGCTTTGCTCCCCGCTCACGTTTTCTGTGCGAGAGCAGAACATGATGACATCATCATGGAAGTAAAAAACTAATATATTTGACTTTGACCGCGAAATGTGAAGATTCTATAGCTGAACTAAAACATTTCTCTTAGCTATGTCTAACTGCCTCGCACATAATCTGTCGACAATTGTTCAATGAATTAGCCTAATCTGCAGCAATATGCGTGAGGATAATTACTCATTTTATTAGGCCTATTCAGACGGGACCGGGAGGGCTGGCTTGTTACCTGCATCATCTATTTGAAAGCACGTTATTAATAGCGTTCAGACTACGGCGTTTATATGCTGAAGTTTAAATGAGCATTCGAGAATTGTTAGAGCTTTAATTCCTTAAACATCCCCCTATCACTTCTGCTTCTTGCGTGTAAGATCAACAGCTTCTTTTGCACATTCTGAAGAAAGAATGTTGGCATTCACATAAAGATGATGAGAAGACAGTGATCAGTGTGTAGAGTTTTGAAAACGGTGTTCAAGCAATGAAAAAGGATCTAGAGTTCGGTCCTCATGAACTGCTGCTGTGCAGACTGGAGTCACAGTTTTGCACATGTGACTCCAGATGTGGCCGCTGTCGTTTAGCAACGGAAAAAAACTGTGAATGGAAACACGGCTCTCCATCACGCTCTCCACTCTAATCCCCAAAACCCACAAAGGAGCAGACGCTCGATCCGTCTCCCCGGGAGGTGTTGGCGGGGCGAGTTGAGGCCCAGGACGTAACATATCTTAATAGCACTACTACTACTGGTGCTTCTACCACGACTACTGCTACCTCCACTACCTATCAGCACCTAGTACTCCTGTGTACTGTGTATATCTAAACGTGATCTGATGGACATTGATGTATTTTAAATGAAATATGACAGCGTCTCCTGCTGAGTGAGAATGAATATTCATTTGGAATGAGATCCGTTTATTAAACACAATGACGTCACCAGCCCGTCTTCATTGGTCGATCATGTGATCAATGCTACGATCAATGATATGATCAATGCTACGATCAATGATCTGATCAAAGAAGTCGGTAAATCATCAAAAGCTCCAGCTGTTACAGCAACAAGTTAAAGGTTTTTGTCTTCATAAAAAGCCACAATGAATGAATGTGCCTCAAGATCATGATTCATCTGGAACATCTCAGACTGAGTTCAGAAGGTCAGCAGGTTTCTTGGTTCTTTTGAAATCAGCTGTGTTGATTGACAGCAGTCACATGTTTGGTTTCCTTTCAGTACCTCACACCATGTCTGCTGATGGTGGATTTAACTTGAGTGTTGTTGTCTCTCTGCAGACAATAAACTACACAATCAAAGGTGTAAAGGAACAATTTGCCTTCCTGTTAAACGTGAAGCCTTTTATAGACAGTAGTGTAACAGCAGGGACATTGTGTCTGTGCTGGAGACAAAGACAGAGAGACACTTACTCGCTGTCTTCTTTTCCTCCTCCACCTTTTATGTTGAGCTGTTTGATGACACACATTGATTTATGAAATACAAATTTAACTTTGTCTCGAAAGTGTCCTATTTGTTGGGGGGAAAAAAATAATTTATTTCTACATAATAAGATATAAATGTGATTCTTGAAGTATGAATAATTGTCTCTGCTCGTTTGTTGGTGAAATATGTTTTTGTTACGTAGATAAAGATGAACTCGGTGACGGAACATTTTTTCATTTGTTCTGATCTTATCCAGCGAGTAGTAAATGTCAACAGCAGGTTTTAAATCATAGATCGATGTAAAAACCTTCCGGAGAACAAGGGTCCGTTTCAAGTAGGAGGTTTAACAAACTCTGAGTTTCCACTAAACCCGATTCTTGAACCGGACCCCTGATCTAATGATGCTGCTGGGAGGAAGTTATGATCAGATAATCAAACCTCCTCCAGGGATCAATGTGGTTAGAGGGAGCAGGGCCAGAGGAACGTATCAGCGTGTGTACGCTGAGTAATAATCAATGTTATTATAAGATGAATCACATTGTTGGTTCAGACATATTGATCAGAGGGGATTTAAACGTCACAGAAATGAGTTTGTGTGTCTTTTCTGTGACACTGACAACAAAAACAACCATTTGTGAGTCATCTTCATTTTATTCAAACTGACCAGATTGTACAAGAGGAGACATTATTGCAATAATGATCAATATTATTAAAAGAACAGCAGACTATTATTTTTAATGCTTTGTTGTTTTCAGTAAAATGTTAAATCTACAGACGTGTTTTAATACATTTTGATTATTTTTTGCCAGAAAGGTTTTGACATCAAGAATGTGTAAACTAAGAGTTATAACTAAATAAAGTGATAGAATAACAGTTATTATTTGTACTAAAGGGCTTTACAAACATTTAATCAATATTATATGTAGTAATTATTATTAATAGCAAATTTAGAGTAACTCAACAATTTTCTGAATGCTGATGAAATTCCTGTAAAATAACACATTAAAGTATCATCCAATGCACCCAACGCATCCATTATCATTAATGATCTTGTTGATCCAATCCAAGTAGATCTTCTCACAGACCTTCACTGCTGCAGAGTTTGCATTGCAGTTTTCTATTATGCCTGCTACATGGACCCCATAAAGTGTGCCTCCGTACATCACTCCACTTCCAGAGTCTCCCTGAGGAACAGATGGAGATACTTTATTAAAATACCTTTGTGTGTAAATGACAGAAATACTATTTTATAATGAACTGTTAGAAGCTTTTGTAATGACTTCAGAAAAGATATGAAGTTAGAAGACACACGACTCACTGGATTGGTACCCTTTCCAGCTCCTTTGTAACAGAATATATTTGGATACTCATATGAGCTGCTTATGGGACATGAACACGGGACCACCTCTAATTCAACGCATTGAAGTGGCTTTTGTTCATCCGCAGCGAGTCTTTCTAGATGGAAATAGACATAGAAAGTTACCAAACACACAAAAAACTCAATAAACACTTATTTAAAATAAAATAGATTATTGTTGATGGACATCATTTTTTTAATAAACAAGATACATCTCACCTGTTATTTTACCGTTACGGATCGTTGTTGACAATCCAGAAACAGTAACTTCCTCACCGCTGTAAAGCAGCAGAATGATGTTAAATCTCCATCAGAAGTTTCTAACGATCAGCTGATCAGTAAATGTGTGTATTTCCTGTTGTATTCCGGTGGTGGTAGGAAGTATTTCCTCATGGTGTGATGAATAAACTGAAACCAGCACAGTGAAATGACATCTGTCCAGCAGACCTCCATCCTCACCATCACACCAGGTTTCTACTGACGTCAGGTGGAAGTGACTCATCCACTCACCTGTGTATATTTATTACCACGTTCTAGTGCTCCTCTTTAACTACTAACTGCTGCTTCACATCTCGATCCTTCTTTCATGGACCACATTAAACTAGACCACATTTATTTTATGACCAGATGAGATGGAAACTAGAGTACAGCTTCTCTAGAAAGATTTCATGGTTATTTGAGTTACGCGTCTGACTTTTAGTAAAAGAAATAAAGCTTGTGACTCACTTTGGGGGATGACCTGAACAGTCCGTAGGAAGAGCTGCAAATGGATCAGGAACTGTATCAGGCAGCTTCAGCAGCATGATGTCATGTTTTATAAAAAACCACTTTGTTAATTTTTTTTTGTCTGTGATGGTATATTGTCTCCTTGGGTTCCCAAGATGGGCTATTATCGTCCTACAAATGAGTAAAATACAGAGAAACATCACTGAGCCGTCATAGATACATTTGAGTATAATATTAATTACAATAACATCATTGATGCAGTAGTTTAAAGTAAAGTTGTCTCTTTCTCACTCTCCGGGCTCATGGCAGTGAGCTGCAGTCAGAACCCATTGATTACTGATCAGAGTGCCGCCACAGAAGTAATCAGGGTCACTTGTAGATGTTAAATCCACATGATGCGGACGCTCATCGTGTAGACAATCCCGTCCTCCATAGATCCTCTTGTGCAGATCCACCTGTGAGGCCACTGTGACACCTGGAACACAAAGTCCTGTGTTTGTAATCAGTGGAGAACAGTCAGTCAGTGGGGGACGGTTGGTATAAATGGAGTAACTGCTGATGGACCATGTTTCCGTTGGTGAACAAGGAGCTGACGCTGACACCCATCACGTCTTTGGTGGCTTTAAATGAGCCATTGATCAGTTCTATCACAGCGAGTCCACCACGTGGCACCGCCATGTCTCTACGGAAGCTCACGACGGACAAACTGCGTCTTCACGTCATCTGAAGGTGCTGTTACTGAAACTGGTGGTGAGCAGATACCAGTCGTACAGAACGAAAGACCAGTGTCTATGAGGCCCAACGTTACTGCTGCTGATTCCTTCTTCAGCTTCTCACTGAAGACAAAAGCCAGATGTTAGCAGATGTGATGGGTCATTTAGTCCAGAGGGGAACACGCTCAACATAAAAGGTGGAGACGAGGGAAAGAAGACAGTGAGTAAGTGTCTCTCTGTCTTTGTCTCCAGCACAGACACAATGTCCCCCTGTTACACTACTGTCTATAAAAGGCTTCACGTGTAGGAAGAAGAAGAAAGACTCAAGAATCAAACGTCTGAAAGTCAGAAACCAGCAGAGATGAAAGTCGTCCCTGAAGAACCTGCAGACCACACGGAGAACATGTGAGTAACACGAGAGCTCCATGGAGCAGAGAGACGCAGAGAGGAAGCAGCAGCAGACTCACCGGCCCACAGCAGAAGGACGAGACCCGTCATGGCAGCCATCTCTTCCTCAGACGTCCCTCCTGCTGCAACACGGGGGCCTTTTGAGAGGAGTTCTGTGTGACCTGCTGACCTCCAGCCACCAATCCCCTCGTGGAGGCTAATCAACACAACCCCATTGGTGCACACGGCTACACACATGCAAATGTCACGTGGACACATGTTGAACTTATTCAGTAATAGTCAGATCGGTGGTGCAGTGGAGGACGATACGGATATCGTCCAGAACACCTGCAGTTTGCAAAGAAGCATCAGAGTACAGAAGCAACGGCAAACATCAGATGGTGGACGGCCCGAGGTGAACCTCTGATGGTTTTTAAATGAACATCAGCTGCATAAGTTGTACCAGCAGGTACATTGCAAACATTAGACAATAACACACCTTTGTTCTTGGGGTTGCAGGTATCATGTGACCCAAGCCAGCGTCCCTTGTGTCATGGTTATAACTCCTACATGTATGTTGTAAGCGATGATTAAATACGACCTCTGTGAAGAACACGAGGGAGAGAATCAATGCTGGATTTGTTCTTATTCATCACTGTCATAACTGTCAACCTCTAACAGAGATCCATGTGTGTGTGGAGTAGTAGTATTAGTAGTGGTATTAGTAGTAGTAGTATTCGTGTACCTTTGAACTTTTTCTGATTAGAAGTTTGGCTGCTATCAAAAATGATGATTTATCAAATTAATATTTTTGATGTCAACAGAAATATTTACATTTCACTAAATGTAAAGTGAATAGATTTTGTGTGTGTTTTTGACTATAAAGAGTTATAACAGGTTACCACCACAACCACAGGGTCCACGTGGTGCCGCAGTAGAGAGGGAGCGCTGGGAACCGCAAGGTTGGTGGTTCGAGTCCCGGCTGCTCCATGTCAGAGTGTCCCTGAGCAAGACACCTGACCCCTAATTGCTTCCAGGTCAAAAATGCAAAAAGCCATGTGTTAAAAATGTAATGTAAGCGTCAGATAAATGACCTGATGTGATGCTCTGCTGTGTCTCTTGTCTCCGTCTCTCACAGTATTTCCATGTGTAACTGTCTCTACTGAAGATTAACCTGCAGCTTTTTATCAGAGTTACTCAGTGAAATGTTCCCAGGTGTCGTTGGCTGATAGAAACACAGCAGCTCAGGTGAGGAACAATCAGCTGTCCGTCCACACAGGCTTTATGGTGGGACACGTCTCCATATTTGAATAAACCGTCTGCGTCTCATTGTTCCTTCACAAGAGCATCTTTCTTCTCACTGATATCTGTCATCGTCCTACAGAAGCATCAGTTTGTTGTGTTTAAAGTTGATTTATTACAGGAGTTATTTAAAGCACATTAGACATTTGTACATTATTGATACTGTCAATAACTATGCAGTGCAGTGTATATATATATATATTATAAAGTTGTCCAAAGTTATACTCACATCGGTTCTGTCATCTTTCATATTTTCTGGTTTAAAGATTCATTTAAAAGAACAATATATATTAAAAGAACAAAGGCAAATTCCATCTATGTGTATAAATACCCAATTGCCAATCAATTTATTCTGGCTCTAACGGTACTTTCTTGTCATGCTGGTTGTGGTGTTTGACCCACGAGCAGAACGAAGAGCAGAAAAGGTCCAACAGTCTTTATCACAAAGAACCAGAGGCTGCAATGCTGTGAGTCCACAAGGCAGGTTGGGGGGAATCCAGAGGGGCCGAGAGCCTGAGACACTCATTACATCTCATTACATTACATTATATTATTATAACGATGAAATGATACTTCATCAAATATGCCAATATGTTACAACGTGGGAAGGGATGCTGAGCGTTTTGGCCGTAGCATCAGTTGGTGAACTGGTAACCAGTGACTGAACTGGGCCACAAGGACTAACAGCAGCATGAGAGACACGAGCAGCTGTTAGTAGAAGGCAGTAATAGAGTCAGACTGAGACCTGGTCCTGGATCAGTGGGGAGGTGTGATGCTGCACAGATGAGGATCTGATGGTTGGAGGTGAAGCAGCTGGTGGATGGAGAGGCTCCGCCCACAGGAACACACCCTGCAGAGAAAACATGAACTAGAAAATGCATTTACTGCTGAAAATGCGTTGGAATGCAAAAAGCTGAACGCTGAAATGAACTTCGGAAAATTGCTGAAATTACAGAAAGTTGAAGGGAATTTTAATACATTTGCTTAAATTACAGATATTAGAAAAGCTGAAATTAATATGAAATTGCGGAAAATACAGAAATGGGAGAAGCTGAAAGGAATTTCAATAGATTTGCTGAAAACAGCTGAAATAAATTTGAAAAATTGCAAAAAAATAAAGAAATGAATATTAAAACAATGCTGTTAATAGAGGCATAAGAAAAATATTTTAAAGAACTGCTGAAAATACAGAAATGTGAGAAGTGTCACGGTGTGGTTCACTTCCTGTCTTATTTTGTAGTTTTCTGCCACTCGTGTCCCCGGGTAACTTCACTTCCTGCCTTGTCCCGTCGTCCCCTGTGATTGTCTGATAGTTTCCACCTGTGTCCAGTAACCTGCACCTCCCTTGTGTATTTAAGCCGTGTGTCTCTTGTGTCACTTGTGGCGTCATTGTCTTTTGTCGTGGATGTTCGTAGTTTCCTGCCTGCTGTTTCCCACCCTGGTTCCTGTGTGTTTTTGCCCCTTGGCCCTTTGATTTTCCCTTTTTGACAATTAAAGTCTTTCGTTTTTCGGAGAAGTCTGCGTTTGAGTCCTGAAAAGCCCCATGGAGGGAATTTTTACTGTCAATTAAAAACGTCTTAGTTTGAATAACAAACATTCTGTCTCCCAACCCCCCTCACCCAATTCCATCATTTCAAAATAAAAGCCTCAATAATTATCTGTACCTTAACCTTGAAGCTCAGAATGAAGCAGTTTCGTTGAAATACGAATTGCTCTTTCAAATACTACTACAACCACTACGAATATTACTAGTACTTCTAGTAGTACTACTACAACGGATATTTCCACTACCATAACTAACACTACTGCTAGTATTTCAAGTATTACTACTCTTACAAGTATAATAAAAATGACTACCAGTATTTATACAGGTATTAGTACTACAACTACTACTAATGTTACTAAAAATACTAATAGTATTAGTATTACAGCTGTTTTTACTGCTATTGATACTAAACTATTACTAATTCTACTGCTAGTACTACTAATACCACAATTAAAACTAACTAATACTAATATCACTACAAACTATTTAGAACCTCTTTTTATTCATTTAAGCTCTTATTTTTGTATTTTTTTAAATTCATTTAAGCTCCTGCTAAATTTTTTTGAAAATCTTTTGAAATTCAGCTTCTCCCATTTCTGTATTTCCGGTTCTCCAATAATTTCAGCTTTTCTTATGCCTGTATTAACAGCAATATTAATTTCTGTATTTTTTGCAATTTTTCAAATTCATTTCAGTTGTTTTCATTTATGCTTTTTCAGCAAATCTTTTGAATTTCCTTTCAGCTCGTCCCCTATTCTCAGCAATTTCAAATTAATTTCAGCTTTTCTAATATCTGTAATTTCAGCAAATGTATTAAAATTCCCTTCAACTTTCTGTAATTTCAGCAATTTTCTGAAGTTCCTTTCAGCTTTCAGCTTTTTGCATTCCAACGCATTTTCAGCAGAAAATGCTTTTTCTAGTTAAGATATGAAGACCTGTAGCACCTCTAAATCTGAAGCCGTGGTTCTCAGCAGGAAACCGATGGATTGTCTGCTCCAGGTGGGGAATGTGTCCTTACCCCAAGTGAAGGAGGTCAAGTACCTCGGGGTCTTGTTCACGAGTGAGGGGAAGATGGAGTGTGAGTTTGGCCGGAGAATCGGAGCAGCGGGGGCGGTGTTGCACTCGCTTTACCGCACCGTTGCAACGAAAAGAGAGCTATGGTCATGAAGGACGGGTCATGACCGAAAGAACTAGGTCACGGGTACAAGCGGCCGAAATGGGTTTCCTCAGGAGAGTGGCTGGCGTCTCCCTTAGAGATCGGGGAGAAGCTCAGCCATTCCTGGGGAGCTCGGAGTAGAGACGCTGCTCCTTTGGCTTGAAAGGAGCCAGTTGAGGTGGTTTGGGCATCTGGTGAGGACGCCCCCTGGCGCCTCCCTGGGGAGGCGTTCCAGGCACGGCCAGCTGGGAAGAGGCCCCGGGGAAGACCAGGACCAGGTGGAGAGATTATATCTCTGCACTGGCCTGGAACGCCTCGGATCCCCCAGTCAGAGCTGGTAGATGTGGGAAAGGGAAGTTTGGCGTCCCCTGCTGGAGCTGTTGCCCCCACGACCCGACCCCGGATAAGTAATAATAAAGCCTGTGCGGACGGACAGCTGATTGTTCCTCACCTGAGCTGCTGTGTTTCCATCAGGAATGAAGAAACATTTATAACCATAATATGTCAGACATACAAGAAATTTGACGTGGCGGTTGACAGTATGACAAGACAACATATTGCAAGAGGAATAAAATAAAACACAAGGCTATTGGTTAGTTTAAAAATAAAGGAATACAAGTTTAAAGTTTAAATTCAAAATAAAGTGCACCAGCGAACAGAAAGTGACGTGTGTCATGTCAGAGTCAGACAGATATCAGTGAGAAGAAAGAAGCTCTTGTGAAGGAACAATGAGACGGAGACGGTTTATTCAAATATGGGAGACGTGTCCCACCATAAAGCCTGTGTGGACGGACAGCTGATTGTTCCTCACCTGAGCTGCTGTGTTTCTATCAGCCAACGACACCTGGGAACATTTCACTAAGTAACTCTGATAAAAAGCTGCAGGTTAATCTTCAGTAGAGATAAATATGGAAATACAGTGAGAGCCGGAGACAAGAGACACAGCAGAGCATCACATCAGGTCATTTATCTGACGCTTACATTACATTTTTAACACACGGCTTTTTGCATTTTTGACCTGGAAGCAATTAGGGGTCAGGTGTCTTGCTCAGGGACACTCTGACATGGAGCAGCCGGGACTCGAACCACCAACCTTGCGGTTCCCAGCGCTCCCTCTCTACTGCGGCACCACGTGGACCCTGTGGTTGTGGTGGTGACC